GCGTTGACCCATGATGCTCCGCATTGCGCTGTCGGAGGAAGCTCTACTGACTCAGTAATGAAATTGACCCAGCGTCGAGCTGGATTCAAATGTATAGCGCAGTGTTTATGATTGTGCTTCCAGGGCTCATCTCTACCGGCATATACTGATCGGTATCTACCATGGCGACAGAAGCGCTCCGCCCAAGAGGCAGACCGGCCCGTAAGTGAAGCCACTGAAATAATATTGGGAGTTCGCTAACAGTATTTTTATTCCTTTAGATACCCCCGGAACAACTGTGTTGACGTACACACCGGACGGTCGTCGGATTGTCACTGGCGGTTCCAACTCGGCGATCCGAGTCTACACCGTCGGCGAAGACGGCGAACCGAAGACGATCGACGAAGGCGTTGATGGCAACTTGGGCGTTGGTGCTACAGTATGTCGAACATCTGTTCGAGAAGCTGCTATAGACTAATGTGCTTCGTAGAATGAGTCGTTTATCATGGGAGCGGAAGATGGCACCGTCTGGAAGTATGGGATAGAATCAGGGAAGATGGAACAGCTGCTTGTACGGTGCGCGCTGCCCGTCCGAGATCTAGCTGTTTCAAAGGACGGAGAGTGGGTGGCAGTTGCAAGCGAGTCAGTCTAATTTCACACGAATTCGCTCTTCGTGAGAAAAGCTGACAGCATCCAGTGAGCTCACGGTCAAGATCGTCAACATCGAAGACATGACGAAAGTCAAGTATCTCCGAGAGCAAGCCAAAGGCACAAAGCACGTTTCCTTCGACCCAAACGGACGATACATAGCCGTCTCGTGCACGGACGGTCTTCTCTACATGTATTCGATTTTCTCGGAGGAACCAGAATTAGTACGGAAATTAGACGGCATCATCCGACGACTTGAACCGGAAGACGAAGCCACGGCAAAGATCGCCTGGCACCCTGATGGAACAGCATTCGCAGCTGCAGAAGCGACTAGAGACATCACAATCTATTCCGTATCTGAATGGAAGAAGGAAAAGGTCTTCTCGGGTGGTCACAACGGAGATATTACCTCGATCAGCTGGTCACCGAACGGGGCTCTTCTTGCGACAGCTGGTGCCGACGGCAAGATTTTGATCTGGGAAACCAAAACACAGCAAGTGCTGCATCGTTACGACTTCGCCAACGTTATCAATCTTGCTTGGCACCCTACCAATAATTCGCTCTCGTTTACCACGTCAGATGGTGAGCTTTTCATCTACGATGGGTTTGTGCCAAAAGAACATCAGCATCATATCCAAAAGTCTCTTCAGGCAGCCCCTATCTTCCCTGGCGTGTTGGCGGACGTGTCTGGAAATGCAGGTCGATCATTGACAAACAGAGCGAAAGAGTCAATAGAGCGGCCAGGAAGAGGAGGAACTCCCGATTCTCTCGATGATCTCCTTGGTTCTGACCAGGGCATGGAGGACTTTGTCGAAGATGATGATGGGGCTGGTTATGCGGAGGGCGTCAATCTCTATGGCAAGCGAACGAATGGACATCTCGACGACATTGATGGTCCCGCCGAGAAACGATTGTTGACCAGCTATACAAAGCCCAAGGCCCACCTTCCTCTTCAGCCAGGGAGCACACCTTGGAGAGGTAATCGACGGTATCTCTGTATGTCTTGACTTCGAGCGTCAAACGGAGTAGCAATGTGCTGACTGAGCTAGGTTTGAACCTGACCGGCTGTGTGTGGACAGTTGATCAGGAGACTCATAATACGGTGACTGTGGAATTTTATGACCGAGAACTACACCGTGACTTTCACTTCACTGACCCCTACCTCTATGACCGCGCATGTCTCAGTATGGAAGACCATCCAGTTGTATGGACGCATGCTAATTCTTTCTAGACGAGAATGGGACTTTATTTTCCAATAACCCAACCGATGGCAGTCCCTCTACTATATTCTATCGCCCTCATGAGACCTGGACAACGCGTGCGGACTGGCGGACACAGTTACCTCAAGGAGAGTTGATCAGAGGTAGGCACTGTGAGCCCGACTCATTCGAGACTGGCAGCTGACGGAGATATAGCGCTGGCGCTAAGTGATTCATATATTGTTGCTGTGACGACCAAGGACTACGTTCGTGTGTATACTCTGTTCGGGACGCCTTATAAGGTGTATAGACAGAAAAGCCCGGCTGTGACGTGCGCTGCTTGGCGCGATTATGTGATGACGATTGGCAACGGACCCTTGGGAAGCGATGGCCTCACAGCGACTCTCAGGTACTCCATTGAGAATGTCAAGAGGGATGAAGTATGTCAAAATGAGGATGTGGTTGCTCTTCCCGAGGGCTCAGAATTACGCAGCGTCTTCTTTTCCGATGCAGGGGTGAGTCATCTGCCCAGATTAATGCCAGTATTCGTGGCATACTTACAGTATTTCCAGGATCCTTGCATCTACGATTCCGAAGGCGTCCTCCTCATCTTGCAGCACTGGCGTACTAATGGCCAGGCTCGCTGGGTTCCATTACTTGATACAAAACAGCTTGAGCGATTGGCAAGCGGGCGAAAAGAGGAGACTTACTGGCCTGTGGCAGTCGCGCAAGAGAAATTCCACTGCATCATTCTCAAAGGAGGGGATAGATATCCGTACTTCCCACGTCCACTGCTCAGTGAGTTCGACTTCCGGATTCCCATTTCCGACAAGCCTCAGAAAGGATTCAACGAGGACGAGGGTGATGAATCGCGCAACGACGCTTCGGCGCGGTTTGAGGAGTCTTTTGTCCGTGGCAGCGTTCTCCTCTCCCTGTTCCAGGATCTCCTGTCCTCAACCAACGCGACGCCCAGCCAACGGGCCGAGCTGGCCAGGAAAGAGATCGAATTGGATAAGGTCCTACTGCAGATGCTGGCAATTGAGTGCAGAGAAGGCGAGGAGCGTGGCATGAAGGCCTTGGAGTTAGTTCGGATGATGAAGGATCGCAATGGAAAGATGGTCGAAGCCGCGGCCAAGGTGGCTGAACGATATGGGCGAGGCGTGCTGGAAGACAAGATTCGGGATCTGGCCGAGCGGCGATACTTGGGGACAGGCGATGATGATGAGCTGGCTTGATTCTGATGGGATTCTGATTCATGTATATGATAATGATCTTTTGGAGTTTGGGTCTCGGCATTTTCATGGGTAGCTATATCGATATAATTCGACTTTTACGTACAGTCTTGATATGATACCGATCCCTATCTAACTATGCATATCACTACATGCACTTAACTTAATTGTGTATACGTTCGTCCGAAAGTTGTCGATGCTTCTGCTTAGCTTCGGCGAATCTCCCGACGTCATCGGCGAAACCAAACGGAAACTTCGACTTCACGCCTTGGTTTCTGAGCCTACTCAACTTCAACTCATTGCCATCACACCAACAAAAAACTCTGACACATGGCTTGACAGGCGCTTCTATCTTGTCGTCTAGTACGGCTTTCACTTTGATTATACTCCTATGCATTCTCCTTGAGGTATTGTTCTCGCTTCCGACGTCGTGATGCCCAAGTTGCTTTCTGCTCCGTCTCCTCCTCAGCCTATCCGATGTCTCCTACAAGCTCCACGGAAATCGGTCTCTCGATCTAGTCCTCGTCAGCACTTTGTGTCCTCTCCAGTACGGTCTTTAGCGCAGCCACGGCACGGGATTCTCAATGATTCTCGGCTGACGCCCGTATCGCCCACGCTCTTCTCACAAACGGATCATGAATCGTCCATAGATGGGCTGAATGGGGGCCCGCAAAATGACCATAAGCCACCAGATGAACGGATTCTGAAACTCGGAAAAAGTACGTGTGATTGTCTCTGGGTGAAGAAATGGGATGTCGATGACAGGATTGAATCATGCTGACTGGTGCACTTCGTCCGCAGCCCTACGCACTCTCTCTCCCCGACTACCTACTCTACTTATCAACCCTTTACCCCCGAACATTCTTTCACCGAACATCACACTTCACTTATTTCCCTCGACGCATCCGCACCTTCCCACGGTGAAAGGTCGGACATTATACCGAGCCGCGCTCTGGACTGTCCCTGTGGCGTGGAGCAGCTTACCTCTAGTCGGCAACGTGAAATTGCAGATTCTCAGCGAGCGGATCATTCGTGCAGGCACGGTCTTAGATCCGGATGGATGCAGCGAGAGCGAAAGCGGGGATGAGCGGCTAGTCGTCCGATGGAGAACAGAACGCAGGAACGAGGGGCATAAAGATGGCTCTGTCGCTGCTGCGAGCGGAGCCAGCAAGGACTTGTCGTCGCCTTCGTCAGGGAATCTCAGCCATACTTCTGCGAAAAATGGCGTCAATAAGGGTCTCAGCGTGCTTCTGGGTGGGGATGCCCCCATTTTCAAATTGTCGAATGAAGAGCAGTTTACTGGGCTATTTATCTTCTCCTTTGATGAAGAAGGTCGCATTTCTTCGCATACAATCGAGCACGCTGACGATGCGCACGGATGGGACCGGACTGCCAAGTTTGTCACTTTGACTGACTGGCTTATCGGGAAGGCGAGAGGTTCTCTAGACCCTCCAGTGCCTGGGCTGGCGATTCAGGGCTGTCAGACCTTTAGTTTTCCCTCGTCTCAGGCGCATCGTGGCTCTGGCCAGTCGCCATAGCTCAGACTTGCAGGTTCCAAAAGGTGCAGTTGATGATGGGTGTGTAAGCCCTCGCAACTTTTTAGTATTGTTCTACTAGCACAGCTGGCTATGTTTAGCGCATGTGTGCCACTCTCACTCAATGCTCTATGGTGTTGATCGTGTTTTCTTCTGCTGTCCTAAATTCGCACCATCTCCTCTTCTTGGCATGTACTTATACTTACGTGTATTATACCCAGCAACGAATTTATAGAGTGTATGATGAGTTTTTGACCAGCCGTTGAAATTGCCTAGTAGTACATATCGAAGGAAATGAAGTTCAACTTTATAAACAGTCCCGCTTGTTGTTGGCTGTTTGATCAGTCAGTCATAAATCCAGCTGGGAAGAAGATATACAATTGGATACATGCATCCAAAGAAAACTGCTAGGCCTTCACCTTCACGGCCTTCGTCGCAGACCCGACAGGGGGCGACTTTAATGTCGTAAACACACCCACACAAACCGCCAACATTGCGAACCCACCAGTGGTATAGGCGATTTCGCGCCCAACCCACCAGAAAAGTGAGCAGAAGAGCAGTGGGCCCGCAGCTCGGCCTACCTGACCCCAGCTTCGCAGACGACCCAGCACGAGGCCGCGCTCCCCTTCTCGCGCTTCAAAGCTACCGAGACTATTCAGACTGGTCACAACTGTAGCACTGGTCACAGCCAACAAGGCACCGGCCGAGTAGAGCCCGACGAGCGAAGAGACTCGAGCCAGGAGGAAGAAAGAGATGGCGCAAGCTACCACTCCGGCGCGAAGGGTCATGAGTGGCGGTAGACGTCGGACGACGGTCCCCTGGAGCAGAGAGGCGATGAGTCCCATCATGGAGAGAAGACGGCCGTTCAGAGCGGATGGAGATGCGGTGCTCCCTGCGTAAAATGTTGCGGTAAGGAAGGGGAGCGAGAACTCCAGCCCGGAGAAAGGAAGAAGGAAGAGTAAGTGAAGCAGGTTGAGGAGGGCGGGATTGTTCGTGTGTTTGTGAGGCATCGTCGAGTCGGGTTTTGAGGCGGCAGGATTGTTATTAGTCTTTTGCGTCGAGGAGGCGGTCTCCTCAGCTCTGAGAGGACCAAAATTGAGCTTGGTCAACCGGGGGTGTGTTTCCGGCAGACAGCGATACAGATACAGCGTCTCGGTGACAATAAGAAGAAGAGACACTCCCGCAGCGGTCGCGAACGGATTTGCAGCCACCGTGGTGATATTCGACAGCGCGGCTCCAAGGGCAGGCCCGCAGGTGAACGCAATGCTGAAGCACGCACCCACCAGCGCCATGGTCGAGCCCCGTTGACTTTCGTCACTGATATCCGTCGCAATGGCATGCGCCAGCTGCACATTGCCCTCGCTCAGACCACCGACAATGCGACTGGCAAGGAAGGTACGAAAATCCGTCGCAGCGACCCATAGCGCGACACTCAGGGTGTTCCCGACCATGGAGCAGAGCAGCGCCGTCCGTCGTCCATATTTGTCGGATAGTCGGCCGATGAACGGGGCGGCGATGGCTTGTAGAAGAGAGAAGAGCGATCCTAGCGCTCCTCCAAGGAGTACTATATCATATCGCGAGTCGATCGGCTTTGCGAACGAGTTCTTGTACGCGTTGAGATAATGGAAGACACGGTTTAGGAGAGAGGTGGGAGAAGGGTCTTGAGAACGATAGAACGTAAGCAACGACGGAAAGAGTGGAAGGATGAACGTAAAGGAGATCTAACATTAGGTCAGTTAAAGAGTGTCTTCGTCATGTAAAAATTGATGGGGATAGGATTTATTCTCACCAGGTCTAGAACGAGAGATATCATCAACACTCGAAGTATCTTCTTACGCTGATCCGCGGCCAGCGCCATGATGATCAATTCGGACTGCAAGTTCGCGCGATCGGCGAACTGAAATAGAGCATGAGGAATTAAAAAATGAGTGACTTGATTGAAGGAAAAGAAGAAGGAAAAAAGGAGGAGTTGGTATCCATCAAGATGAGACGACGATGTCCGTAGCTGATGGGTAATCATTTAGTTCGAGACACCAGGGAGACCCATCATATGTCATAGCCCTGAGCCCTATTGCCAGTTTCGGATCTATCTCCATCTGACCTACACTGTTACTGTTACCTCAAGGCTACAATAAAGTCAAAAAGGACTGCTGTTGGTGAGATGAATGCCATTCATTTCATTTACTGTCCACCCCAGTGTAAACCAAGATTGACCCATTCTTCCACAGACCAGCCATGTCCCCGCGACGCCGTCATAGCAACCTGCCCATCACCATCACCCCCCACTCCACGCTACAAGTTCGGACCGTTGAGCCTCTAGAGTCGAGGAGAACAGTAAAGTAGAACACAGGGAAAGGAAATGTAGACAAGAAGTAAAAAGGCCGTGTCCAGAACACACAGGTGACGCGGAAGATGGAGAATAGAAACGACAGAAAATGAAAGAGGAGATGGAAAATATCAAACCAAGGATATGCACGCTCAATAACTGCCAGACATATACAACAGGAACTTTTGGTAAATCAACTGACCAAAAGAGAGAGACAGAAAGCAAAGGTGCAGAAGAGGACAGTCCCAAACCCATGCCTTTGCAATCACGAATCCTTGTTCCCGGGTGAAATTTCGAGTTGCTCATTGCTTTCGTCAACCATAACACCGCCGTACCGATGCGCTTGTGGACATTAAGACAGGTAAAGAAGGATATGGAGAGACCAACATGGCCAAGGAAGGAAAAGAAGGGAGAATTCAGGAGCAGTGGTGCCTGGAAAAACCCCCAGTGCAACACCTAATGCGAAGCGTTGGAGTCGAGTATCATGGGATTGAAGACTAGAATCTCACAGAGAAACCTATTCTTCAGGCGCACATGGTAGAGATACCAACGTCTCGTGGGGAAGTTGAGATTGAATCACTGTGCTGCAGCAGGAGCTGCAGCTGGGGCGCCATTGGGTCCGCCGCGACCACGACCACCGCGTCCTCGACCACGGCCCCTGAAATCGCCACGGCCACGGCCACGGAATCCATCTCCCCGACCACGTCCACCGCGGCCCCGACCGCGGCCACTGGGCTGTCTCTGATGGTGCACAACAGGTTCGAAGCCGTCGCCGCTCTGCGTCTTGGGCACGGACACAGTTTCATCGCTCTGTGCGGAGGTCTCAGCGACAGTGGGATTGTTCTTCAGGCCGATATCGACAGAGGCGGGGGTTGCCTGTAGGCCTGTCTCCGTCTCCGCCGGGTCGCGAGGCACCTCAACCCAGCCGTCAGCATTTGCCGACGATTCAAGTGAGCCAGCCGCGTTCTGTTCCCAGGAATTCTCGGCTACTTGGTTCGCAGCGTCGGAAACGAGAGTCTGGGCAGGAGGAGGGACCTCGGTCTGAGGTGCAGAGGTGTCAATCTCGTTGGGTGCTGTAGCACCAGCGTCAAGCGGGCCATCCTGGAGTTCAGTGTAGGCGGCGTTGGCCAAGGTAGGATCAGAGGTAGCAGTTGCTTCCACCTCTTCGGTGGCTCCCCCGGGAGCGTACTCCTCGGATGTTTGCTTCACCTTACCGTCTAGACAAGCGAGACTGATTAATCAACTGGAACAAATTGATTTCAATCAAGAAAATGAGAAGGATTTTCTTACAGGTGACTTCAAGTGTTTCTCCCTCCACACTGACGACCTTCTCGTCTACTCCGTCAATCAATTTGAGCATAGAGCTCACAGCGTCGTGAGAGCCTCCGTAGACTTGGTAAAGGACACCTTCAAATGCACGGCTCTCGGGGGATGTCTCGTCACCAGAGCGCCTCATGGCGGCGGCAGCACAAAGGAACTTGGTCAGGCTAAGCAGACGCTGTCTGAGATCCTTCTGGTGAGCCTCAGTAGCCTCTGCGCGAACCTTCTCCCGAACGGCATCCAATTCTTCCTTGTGGGCCTTCTCCAATGCGGTCTTCTGGCTGTTCAGGCGCTCCTCGTAATGACTGGCGAAGTTCTTGAATTGAGCGATTTGCTCCTCGATTTGAGCGACGGTGGCCTGGAGCGCAGGCTTCTTCAGGGCCTGCGCTTTCTGGTCCGCGTTGATGATCTTCTCGGCAACCAGCTCGTCGAGAGATTTACCCGGGTTTTCAGCGACGATAGCATCGACCTTTGCGGTTGCGTTCTATACAGAGACCAAATGCTTGTTAGCAAGTGAACGAGTGTGCCTCTGGCGGCTTGGAGTGACCCACCAGCTTCTTCATGGCATTGCGCAAGCTCCTATGAGTATGCTGTCAGATTCCATTATCGGAGCAATCAGAGTATAGTATCGGAATCAGATGCGCAAGCTTTAGTCTTGAAGCTGACATACCTCTGGAGGTCTTTGAAATGAGGGTTGTCGAGGGTGTCCGCGCCGTTAGCTGTTCCCTGGGCGTCGTCTGCTTTAGAAGCAGTGACTGCATGCTCTGTCCTTGGAGAGGCCTCGGACTGAGCCTGAGAGTGGCTGTTGACAGGAGCAGCTGCCATGGTGGGGATGTGTGGTTCGACAGCTGGTTAATGTGGGAGCTCCGGGCGATGACCTCCAAAGTCAAGGGAGGATTGCGATTCAAATAAATGACAATAGATGAGCAAGCTTAAAGGCTAAGAATTGCCTTCTTCAGGTATATCAATTAGCAAGTAAAGTGAGTGCGCAGAGGGGAATGGTTCAGAAAGATGAGTGTTGTGAGAGGATCAAAGCTGTCATGAGCTGAAGAGCCAAAGATGCGGGTGGAACTCTTCCGAACCTCTCGCCGCTTTGTCGCGTGCCTGCAGCGAACCAGCCAAACAACGAGCTTAAAGGAGGGCCAATTCGTTTTCAAACTTCTGCGACTGAGGTAAAATGATGAAATTTTGAATTTATTAGATGTAATAGCTATCTCATGGAGTGACTATAGAGCGGTTCAGAGGGCATCATCATATATCTGCTTTGTGGACCTCAGCCCACAAGGCCCGGGTATCATAAGAATCAACACACAACGCCTGTACACCTTTTCCTTGCAATAATTCAGAAGAGTAGTGGAGGAGGGAACTCGATCTCAGGTAGTCTCCTTGTAAGCCAAGCGTCTGAGTAGCCTCATCCCCAGTGTGGTTATTGTACGCGCTCGATGTTGGTGAGAGTCGGTTGAAAGACAATTCAATCGATCAGCCCTTGAACTTCCGTAGTGTTTTCTAAGAAGAAGAGAGAGTTTTAGCCATCAGAAAGGCACCATGAATCGCTTTCAATTGACAACGTACCTCTGTGACCTTGCGAACAGAGTTTGGGGAGACATGTTTCTCACCGGCCTTTCGCGACCTTATCGACGCTTCGCGCATCAATCTTTGAATCCAGTCAACATAGTCCTACGCAAGTATCCCAACTGTGCGTCTAGAGGCCGAAGACATGGCATGGATGGTAACAGCCAATGCTTGGGGACAGGCTGAGAGGGTAAGTTGCCGACTCACTCTTGCATGAAAAGCATATAATCTAGGAAGATCTGTGTAAGGACACAGGAATCAGTCAATGAGCTTTAATGAGACTGTTGACCTGCTGCTTACCAGAATATCAGCGTTCTTGCTCACACTTTTGTTGGAATGTGCTTTCACAATAGACTTCAGAGTTCCACGAGGATAGAGCTTCTGTGTTGCAGCCATAGCAAGAGGTTTTGAGGGTAAAGTTCTCAAAGAATGAAGTGATTTGAGCTGGTCGCGTAATAATTTACTTGCTTGTTTCAAAAGCAAGTAGATGATTATACTCTTGATGATAGGTTGTGATTGATAATGGGGATGATAAGCATGAGCTTCTGGTTTGTTTGGGTGTAATCAATCTTACCTAGTACATACGGTGGTGCAAAAGACGGGGTAATTTGAGAGCCCACATACCGGCAGCCAATCAGCAAGGGATCGTGAGGATCGAATCACTTTGGTACCATCCTGGCTGTAAGGTATACTCCGTACAGAGAAAGAGAGTGTGGGGAACCAATTATATAGTGTATTTACATAACAGTACGTGGTATGGTCTAGGTCGACGCCATATGCAACAACATTTGGCAGTGACCCAAAATGCCGAAAGGGCCAACTCTTGTTTTTGCCAAAGCTATTGCTACCACACTGGTTCAATTCTGAATGTACTTGATGAAGCGATGATAGACTACTTGCTCTAACCAGTAAGGCAGCTTTGATGTCTCGTATCCGTTGCATATATACGACCACAATCTCCTTATGGCTCCTCGACTTGGTCCCAAAAGGCTGAACATGCACTACAGTATGTACCAGCTCTCGATTCACCCGAAATATATACTATACAAGATGGCTTCCGCACAAAACGGTATGCAAAGATCGCGTAGTGGTCGTCACCGACGAATTCGATGATCCCGAAGAAATTTCCATGCGTAGACTGCCGCCATGGAGCCCAAGGCAATCCTCCAAGCGAGGAAGACATAAACCGCAACGCGCAGCTTGTCGTAATACCCTCTGAGCATAATACCGACAGCATATGTGCTCCCGTCGGAAGCTTTGTCTGAAGGTCCGTAGTATCTACCCACTCCCAGGCCTCCAATTCCAACATCATTGTGGTCGTGCTTTGTATTAGTCTCTGGAAGCACTGGTAACGCCGCAGTTTTGCTGTCCACGGCCGTGTTACTTACGACTGTCCGAGCCCCAGGCCTCACCCGGAGCATATTACGTTTTCGCAGACGATACGTCAGAATGCTGACTAGGAAGCGCAAGTCAGGGCTGGTAAAAGTAGGATACTTCCATAACCGCACAGCCGTATGCGGCGGAAGCATATCGAGGAAGTCGGCCAAGATTCCCAAGGTCAGTCCCCACAGAAGCAGGGGTCGAGTTGAGTCAACGGAGGCGGCTCTATCGGTTGAGAACCACGTCTTCCACCTCTGGAAGATTGAAGGGCTTGACTGGTTTGCAATGGTATCAGGCTTTGTAGTCGTATTGCATTTTAAAGTTTCATTTGGTTGCAAACGAATGGCAGCGAACTCCATCCACCCCATCAGGGACCGACAAATGAGGCGAGCGATGAGCCCGCCCCGGTTTGCGAATCGTTGAGACATGTCAACATACTCAACAGTCCGTAGTGAAGGTGATAGGAGAGCTTCGAGAGATACCCAATGTGATGAAGCGACCTCTGTTGGTTGTAATTTGAGGTTTGGCGAATCGCTGCGAGTCGACAAGAAGACGAAAGGACAGAGAACCATCAATCTTGGATTAAGTTGTAAGCATTGTCGAAGGAAAGTGGAAACAAAAATTGTCAACATACGGTACTGAGCCCCAGCTGGTGGTGACTACCCGCTCCGGCAAATTTCCAATGTAGATATAGTCATTTGTCGTCAAATCCAACCCTACCTCCTCCGAGGCCTCCCTGATTGCAGCCGCTCGGTCGTCTTCATCTTCCGGATCACGCTTCCCTCCTGGGAGCGCAACATGTCCTGTCCAGCGATCTCCCACGCGTGATGCCCGTTTGATAAACAGGACCTCTGGTGTTCCATGCTGAACCCAGGGCCGAGAGAAGAAAGTATCCAATCGTTGTTCGGTGGAAACGGCTGGATCTTGCTCTGCGGGCACGGAAGGTGAATCGGGCCAATGGGCATATGTTGGTCGTACTCGGAGGACCAGAGCTACTGAAGCACGTTTCTTGCACGATGGAGGATTGGGAACATGAGGATATGGTCGATGATGAAGGTCTTTCAATACGGCGTGGAGGGATTTGGGCAACGATGGTGGTTCTTGATTTGACTCGGGGTTGATGGACTCCATTGCGTGAATTTTCCGGTCATAAATGGTAAGCTATGGATTTTCTAGAATGGAGGTGAGTAACTGAGTAATACATTCATGCTCGAAGGACTTTTCATGAACTTAAGCAGCGTCGTTGAGCGCGAATTGAAGAGTCATAAGACAGAAAGGGAAAGGCTTATCACTGCAGCTTTTATCAGTCATCTACCTCGGGTTGTCATTTCATACTTACAGTTCATGAAAGGATGATATATTGTATTGGTATTACCAAGTAGTGACACCATTTTTCCCTTCCTGACAATGTAAACGACGTCATGCCAACTGTGATTGGCTGAACTGCATCAGGCTAGTGCCGCACGTGCATGCAACGGACTTCCTGATAATAGCTTCAGAGCACTAGCCAGAAGGCTAGACTATGCAGGCCTGCCACCAGATCTCAAGCGCTGATTCAATGATTTAAAATCTTTTCATAAGGCCCTACGACCATTTTCTGTCCTCTCTGCTTTGTTCTTTGACGGCGAATTTGTGTGCTTTATGTCTTGTGCTGTTTGTTGAGACGCTTCTTTAAAATACCCAACTAGCCCATAGCATTGCGACCGTCGTGACCTCAATTTAGCTGAAATCAGCCCATCAATTCGTCATGCGCTTTGGCAAGACGTTGAAGAAGTCGATTTACCCCCCGTGGAACGGGAAGTATATCGACTATCACAAATTGAAGGTTCTCTTGAAAGAACATGATGTCACCGAAGACGCAAGTGACTCGGAAGAGTCTCAATGGACAGAACAGGACGAGGAAGCCTTTGTTCAGGAACTGATCAATGTGCAGCTTGACAAGGTCAACGCTTTTCAGGTTGAGACTTCTCAGCAGCTGAAAGAGCGTACGTCTGCCTGCGAGACCAGGTTACTGCCATTGGCACCCAATGCGGATCAGGAGACGGCCACCGTGGACGAGAAGGAGAAGAAGTCTATCGCTGCTGAAGTTCTTCGGGATTTGGACCAGATTGCCAAAGAAGTTAGCGAGCTCCAGAAGTACAGCCGCATCAACTTCACTGGTTTTCTCAAGGCTGCCAAGAAGCATGACCGCAAGCGCGGTGCACGATACCGCGTACGGCCGCTGCTGCAAGTACGTTTATCACAACTCCCTTTCAACAGCGAGGATTATTCGCCTCTGTTTCGTCGACTATCAGTGATGTATTCCTTTGTACGCCAAATCCTGAGTGAGGATGCTGTCGAACCTAGGGATGCCGGCGACACACATTTTGGCCAAGACACGTATTCATCGTTCAAATTCTGGGTCCATGAGGACAACATCTTGGAAGTCAAGACCTACATTCTTCGCCGATTGCCTGTGCTCATTTACAATCCCAAGACTTCGAGAGATTTCGAGTCGCTTCCTGAGGATCCCACAATTACATCTTTGTACTTCGACAACCCCCAGTTCGACCTCTACAATCAGAAAGTAGCCAAAGCCCCCGAAGCCGGATCGCTCAGACTTCGGTGGACGGGAAGTCTCAAAGACAAGCCCGCCATTTTCCTGGAGAAGAAGGTTGTGACCAGTGATGACTATAGCAAAGAGGTGAAAGTGCAGCTCAAAGAGAAGCACGTGCAAGAATTCCTTGAGGGCAAATATACGTTCGAGAAGCAGCTGCATCGAATGGAAGGTCTGAATAACGGCGAATCAGCGGCGCTCAAAAAAGATGTCGAGGAGCTGCAGTCATTCATCAAGGAGAACAGCTTACAGCCCATGCTTCGGGCCAATTACACCCGCACTGCGTTCCAAATTCCTGGTGACGATCGCATTCGGATTTCTCTCGACACCAACCTTGCGCTCATTAGGGAAGACTCGCTGGACGAGGGACGTCCCTGTCGTGACCCGACCGATTGGCATCGGAGGGATATTGACGATGGCGGAATGCAGTACCCCTTCAACGGCATCAGAACCGGCGAGATCAATCGTTTCCCACACGCTTTGCTGGAGATTAAATTGAGAGGCAGCGCACATAATGCCGAGTGGGTTAACGAGCTCATGGTCTCCCATCTTGTGAAGGAGGCGCCGCGCTTCTCGAAATTCGTCCATGGTGTCGCGCAGCTATTTGAGGATTATGTGAACAGTTTCCCCTTCTGGTTAAGCGAACTGGACAATGACATCCGACGCGATCCCGAAACAGCGTTTCACGAAGAACAGGAACGGCTTGCAAAGCGTGCCGAGGATGATATGGTCGTCGGAAGCTTCCTGGGCAACAGAGCAAGTCCTACCGTGCGCCCACTGGTTGGATCCCCAGTTGCCATGTTCTCAGACCTGGGCTCTCCGACGCGGACCAGACAGCCGTCGCAGCCTGTACCGCGGCCGAGCAGGCCGAGCATACCTGAAGGAGAAGGCCGCACGTTGCCCGCGGTGAGTCCTGAGGAAGAAACGCAGCCAATCACATCGTCCCGCCTGGCCGCACTTTTCCCATCTTTTCCCATCTCGCGATCCAGCCGCACGCATCGACAGTCGGTGGTTCTGCCACCTGGCGTGCAGGAACCGGTCACCTGGATCAAGGATTCGGGTCCTGTCCGTGTGGAGAGCAAGGTATGGCTTGCCAACCAGCGAACCTTTATCAAGTGGCTGCACATCAGTATCCTGCTTTCTTCTCTGTCTCTCGGTTTGTACAATGCTGCGGGCAAACACAACGATGTTGCTCGCGCCTTGTCCATTGTCTACACCCTTTTCGCCTTGTTCTCGGCCGCTTGGGGATGGTACATGTATGAGAAGCGGTCCAGGCTCATCCGGCAGCGGAGTGGACGTGATCTGGACAACACATTTGGTCCTATTGTTGTGTGTATTGGGTTGGCGGTTGCCTTGGTGCTGAATTTCGCCTTCAAGGTACGTCTTGAGTCGATTCGGAGACTTTGCATACGGAGACTGACTTGAAGCAGTACTCGGATACTATGAAGAGGATCAGGGATCAGCAGCCCGACGTTGACACACCCTCTATGTTCAATGTTTCATTTACTCCCGTTGAACAGCCGGACACCTGGCACTTGATTAACCAGGGTGGACAAGGACTGTAAAATGCTTGTCATTACAATGCTTGACGCGAGTATGACTATTAGATAATCTGTCTTTAGCTGCTGTACATGCAAAAGTAACTGCTACGAATATATATATGCATGGTGCATGACGCGCGTGGTTGTTGATGACGAATTGTGCTTGCGACGAATATACTTCTGCCTCTTACACTTCAAGCCCCTCTGACTCTGTGACGCTGATATTGGTTGTAAGTCGATATTGACACGAATGATATTATGTCAGGCATATTTCCCATTGATCATCGGCTGGAGGAGCGGAGCCTTCTCAGGAGGTAAAAGTACAAAAAGAACAGCCATGTCGATGGATTCTGGCCCCTTATGGATTCTCAAAGCATCCAAATATAAGAGCTTTAGAAACAATCACGAAGCCTCTACAGTCCCATCTATCAGCAATCAGTTTGTTTCTATACTCTGTCCATCATAAGGTATAGTTCTCGGGTTTCCTGTTTCGGCTGATGATGTCACAGCGGGGAATCTGCAATATGGACAAGATGAGATCGACAAGACTGCAGAGGCTACAACTGGTGATGAAAATGTATTTACATAGACTCAGAGGCTCGCTCAGGATCAACAGCATAACCAAATACTGGTAGATCAATCAAATGGATCAGTATGAGCTGAGAGCACGAAGGAAAGCTGCTGACAAATCATCATCAAAGCGAAGTGAAAAAGAATATCTACCTCAGTTAACAGGATATGACGCTTTAATTCTTTAGAATACACCCTCTGTTTTATTTTGGAGCAATCCGGGAAACCAGCTGCCCCTGACCCTCGAATTCGCACATCATGACCAACATCAAGATCCAAATCATCTCCGACACCGTCTGTCCGGTACGTTCCTAGTATACTTCACCACCAATCCTCATAGCCACTAGAACTCTAACCCCATCAGTAGTGGTGCTATGTCGGCTACCGCCGTCTCTCGCGCGCCATCACAACCCACAGAGCCACGTACCCGTCCGATACCTTCACCCTCACCTGGCACGCCTTCTACCTGAACCCGTACTCCCCGCCGTATCCCGGCACCGACAAGCGCGAGCACTACGCCTCCAAGTTCGGCGAGGACAGAGTCGCGGCCATTTTCTCGCGCCTCGCGGCCGCGGGCGAGACCGAAGGCATCGCGTTCAAGTTTGGAGGGAAGACGGGGAATACCCGTGATTCGCACCGGGTGCTTTGGTATGCGGCCGTGAAGGAGAAGGAAGCTGGAGCTGGAGGTGGTGCGGCTGCAACTCATGGGAATGGGAATGGGAGCGAGGAGAGGGTGGGTGGACTACAGACGAGGGTCGCTGAGCAGTTGTTCCGCGCCTACTTCGAGGAGGAGAAGAATATCACGGATCGGAAGGTGTTGGTTGATGCGGCGGCGGCCGGGGGATTGGACCGCGGGGAGGTGGAGCGGTTCCTGGAGTCGGGCGATGAAGGAGGAAAGGAAGTTGACCTCGAGGCGGAACGAGCGCGACGTCGCTTCGTGACTGGTGTGCCGTATTTCACAGTGCAAGGCCAATATGGGATCGAGGGGGCGGATGAGCCGGAGACCTTCCTGGAGGTGTTTGAAAAAGTGAAGCAAAACTCTTAACCTAGGAAATCTTTAGAATGCGGTTTATTGAGCACAAAAGCTTTATTGAACACATCTAGTTTTGCAAGTATGCATAAACTGAAGCCGGCCTCAGAGAACCAGGTTAAATCACATCACATATCATAAGAGCTAGGCTAGAAGCCAGTGGACTGGAAGAACCACATTTCTAGCAAAAATCAGTTCGAGCAAGAGTTGAATTCTGATGGCATCAGGCACAAGTCCACCTCAACGCCATACCATGCGAGCACACAAGGACATCGATTGATTGGAGATAAAAACAACACATCATAGGAACTCCCGCTATTCACGATACGCCTGAGCAAGGAAACCACAAGGGATCTTTCAATGATAATACAAAGTAAATTAAAAAGACAGGGAAAAGGTCACATCACAGAATCATGAACCAGCGGGCGTCTATCCGAGCAGGGAGTGGATAATAGAAGCCAAGAAGGCACCATTCGCAACCGCAAAGTCTGAATCATAGCAAGGAGGAGTCATAAATCAATCATAGAAGACTGATCAGTTTGAAAGGTCCAAGAGGAGGACAGGGAGCCGACAATTTCACGAGCCAAATCAATAAGTGGCCTGGCGCAGCTCAAAGTCGGGGATGTGGTCAAACCAATCGGAATCCGGATTGTAACGATAGGCCTTAAAGTCCACGCCGTAAGGCTTGGGCTCGAGCATGTACAGCATTCCTAGAGGCACGTCCAGGTCGGCCACTTCATCCCGCTTCAATCCACGGAAGTAAGCGAGCAGAACGCGCGCCACCGACCGATGGGTAACGATCAAGACATGGTCCGTCATCCGCTCTACCTCGATGATCACAGCGCGAAGGCGGTTGATGACATCCAGATACCCTTCGCCTCCAGGGCCTGGATAACGATAGAACAGTTTGTTCTTCTTGCGGACCGCGTACTCTTCGGGATACTTTTCGCGGATCTCGTCGTATGTCATGCCCTCCATCTCTCCAGCATACAGCTCGTCCAACATTTTCATCTGTTTGACATCGTACTCATCTTCGTTGAATCCTTCGACCGTCTGGACCGAGCGCCGCATCATTGACGACCAGACGCAGAAGTTACGCGGCCGATCTCTTGGAATGTAGGAAGGGTTGGGAGGTGTACTGTCGCCGGGACGTGGGGGGAAGTGTCGCAGCATATTCTTCTGTTGCTGTAACTGTTCCCATTGATGCCGTTGATAATCGATAAAACGAGTCAAAGCTTTGGCATACCGACGCCCGTTTTCACTAATTTCAGAATCGCCTCCGATGCGGCCCAGCTGGTTGTCCTTACTCTCGCCGTGACGTGTGATCCAGATCTGGCGCGGGGAGAGGTTGAAATTCAAAAGATAATAGACAACCTGTGAAGAAAGAAAGCCATGGGTTTGATGGGAGACGATTTTGCGTCCGACATCGATCATTCGAATATACGCCATGTTGTGCTGTTCTTCATACTCTCCGAGCGGGACGTAGGACTTCTCGTAGAGGGCAACACGCTTCTTGAAGTCCTCCAACGACTTCACGGGATCTTGACCTTTGTAGTCCGGGCCCGACAGCTTGAGACGCATATTGGCTTCCAAGAGCTCGGGATCCACACAGCTGCTCTCTAGGAACAAGACACCAAGCTCAGGGCCGGCGACTTGGCGGATGTGGTCAACGATCAATTTGCGGCGCTCGAGGGTACTGTTGGTGGCATCAAGGATACCCACACTGCCACCCTGCACCAGGATATAGTCTAAGAGCTCATCCAGGGTATCCAGGGCAACCTGTTCACGCAGCTTGACAGCACGCTGATTCTGTGGGTCGAAGAAGGATGCCGATTGATCGATAGGTTCCGGTGATGCTTCCCTGATAGCCAGCTGGTTGTCCGGTCCCGCATCGATAGAAGGCACGACCGTGCTACCCTCCTGTTGCATAGAGGGATCTTCTTCCTGGCCATTGACAAGGATCTTAGCGGGAACAACCGGTGGTGGGAGGCCGTTGATTTCCGGGGGCGAGGTAACAGCCTCGGGAGGCGAGGTTTCAGTCTTAGAGGACTGTGCGTTCATCGTGCCCACGCTGACGCTGAGACGTCGCACAGAATCCACGAGATCCTTGTGCACAGAAGCACGCTTGTCACGAGGGGCCATGGCTCTGGCCGGAGAAGGAGACTTGCCTGCCGCGACACGACGACGTTCTCCAACATTGAAGATCTCTGTATCATGCTGCAGCCAGTTCAAGTAGCGGGCCAGCTTCTTGGTAACATAGCTTTTGCCTCGGGCAGGAAGGCCGACCATGACGATCACCAGCTTGGAGCCGAGATCTCTCTGAGCGATACGTCCATCGGGAGACACTTTGGACTTGGTAAGACCTGGGATATCGAGGGTGGTGGCACGGACCCGACTCGGGGTCGAGACCTGGCTAAGGCCATTGCTATATCCAGCATTGTCAGTACGGAGCACGTCTCTCACAGACTCGATCCAGACGGAGAAACCAGATTGATAGAATGATGATATGATTCGAGACAAATAAAAAAAGCAAATAACTAGAAGTCTAGAACGACATAAGGAAACGAAACATAGTTCGGCAATACATGCAAGGTATGTTCGGGGATGATAGACCCGCCACGAGAACTGCCGATCAGGCACCCAAAGAAAGTGGCTTTTGGGCTGCAATCTGCTGGATCTAGAACTCGAAATAACCCGAGGTCCAGATCAAGAAAAGAGATGCCATCTAATCATAGGGATTCATTGGAGGAAAAGAAAAGGAAAACATACATCTGTGGAGACGGAGGTGCGGTAGAAATCGGAGTGTCTGTTAGGGCGAACCCGACACCGTCCTTAGACACATGCGATCCCTTGTGGGCATCGGAATGCAGCTCGTTCCCTAGCGCTCGTCCGACAAGAGTCTTCGGCGGCATAAGACTGGCGTCTTTCCCCGTCCCGAGCTTATTGGAACCTGCATGATGATTGCCATTCGATGTGGCACCGTTTCGCTGGTATTCAGGCGACGAGGCCGACGTCATGATCGCGGAACGCGCAATGTCTGAATGTTGCTGTGCCATCCCCGCAGAACAGCAGGGATGCAAAGAGGGGGGGAGAGGAAACTTAAATAAGACAAAGACGAGGTTTCAGGAGTGTGGCTAACAAAAGAGGGTTTCTAATCTTGCGAGAAATGTGAGAAGAAGCTTGGAATGCACCCTGATCGATCAGGACTGAGTCAGAGAGGAAGTTGAGGCGAGGAGGGGGGGGGGGGTTCACAGAGGAAGGGAAAAACTTGTCCCTTTTACACATCCCCGACCCCACGAGACTAAGGCGAACCTCGTATCCCGATACTTAGGCGAAACTACAAAACCTTCACACTCAATTCTGTCAGTCTTGAATATTGCTCTCCTTCTTCTTTATCTTCTCCACATCTCCGCTACCC